AAAAAAAAAAAAAAAAATTTTACATGGCCAGCGGGTAGCTCAGGTTTATAAGCCTAGTACTCTGGGAAACCAAGGGAGGTGGACTGCTTGAGCTCAGGAGTTCAAGACCAGCCTGAGCAAGACCAAGACCCCCTCTACTAACAATGGAAAGACTAACAGGCATTGTCATGGGAAGGCTGAGTCCAGAGGATCTCTTGAACCCAAAAGATTGAGGTTGCTGTGAGCTAAGATGACTCCCTGGCACTTTACCTAGGGCAACAGAGTAAGACTGTGTCTTAAATAAAATAAAATGAAATGAAATGAAATATAAAATAAAACATTACAGACATACCACACAGATGCCTTTACATTCATTCTACAACCAATTACAGAGCAGCTCATACACATTAGACACTGTTTCCAGTGCTAGAGCACAAAAGTGACCTGGCAGTGGCCCTGCCATGTTCCCAGCTGGTATTTACAACCCTCAATTCAGGTGAGGTGGGGGCATATAACACAAGGGCTCTGGGAGTGCCAAACGGTAAGCCTAGTTACTCAGACGGAATATGAGAAGGCAATAAGAGAAGATGCCAAGTGCTAACAAAATCATTTCAGATTTAGCAGCTTAAAACAATACATACTCATTATTTCAGTCTTAGAGGTCCCAAGTTGGGGCGCCACATAGCTGGGTCCTCTGCTCAAGGTCTCATCAAGCTAAAATCAATTGTGCATCAGGCTTTCTCATGGAGCTAGGGCTCCTCTGCCAAGCTTTTTCAGGTTACGAGCAAAATGCAGGTCCTTGTGGTTGTAGGACTGACAGTCTTCTTACCTGCTATTAGCCAAGGGTTGCTCTCAGAGGTCCAAGCCACATGGCCCCATTACAATATGGCAGCTTTCTTACTCAAAACCAGCAGAAGAATCCTCCTACAGTTGGCTATGAAGGAGTCTTCAGACATCAAAATGATATGTCTCAAAAGTGAGCCATCACTTTTGCCATATAGTATAAGCTAATCAAGGGGATGATTAATTAGTCTATTGAGGATCCTATTCACTTTTTTTTTAAATGATAGCTGTGTACATTAATGCAATCATGGGGTACAGTGTGGTGTTTTCATATACAATTTGAAATATATTCATCAAACTGGTCAACATAGCCTTCATGTCATTTTCTTTGTTATTGTGTTAAGACGTTTATATTCTACTTTTAGAAAGAGTCACTTGTACCCTTGTAAGATAAACCATAGAGGTGATCCCACCAATCACCCTCCCTTCACCCCTCCACCCTTCTCCCCCCGCCCCTCCCCCATATTCTTATACTATAATTATGTTATAGCTTTCATATGAAAGCTATAAATTAGTTTCATAATAGGACTGAGTACACTGGATACTTTTTCTTCCATTCTTGAGATACTTTGCTAAGAAGAACATTTTCCAGCTCC